ATGTGTATGTGTATGTATATGTATGCATGTATGTATGTATGTATGTATGTATGTATGTATGTAGGTATGTATGCTTTGTATTTGTATACCCAGTGAGATGCTGCCACAGACGTTTCGGTGCATTGTTCCCGCGGCTCTGTCCGCAAACGCAAGCTGAGATTGGTGCAGCTGCCGCATCCTGAGCTTGATTTTTAACGGCATCCATGGAAGTCCGCACTGAGCTGCTGATGATCCCAACCCTCCGAAATAGTACGGTTCTCGCCGGATAAGGTCTCATTTGCGACCGGTCACGTCTGCAGTTACCGGCGAGACTTTGCTATCAGCGGCGGACTTGGTTGACAAGCATGAGTCACAACATGAGATGCAAGACTTCGTCTCATTGACTCACCCACTGAGGTCGTATCCGCTTCGGGGTCGGAGGCATCACTTGGACACGTGAGCAATGCTGCCAAGGGAATCTAAAGGACAGCCGTTAACATGTCATATGCTGCAAAAAGAGCGGGTTTTCGGAGGCTCATGCTGTGCAGCTGGCCATGCCGTTCCTACGCCTGGAGCTCGGGAGATGTTTGATTGCAGGTGGATAGGCACTGCCAGCAAAACGAATGTCTTCAAGCCACTGACCCGCCGAGACCTGTTGCCGATGGGTGTTCCGTGTTGACCAAGGCATGCAACAAATCTTGCCTCAGTTCGCGGTGGCAGGACACTTCCCCACGACACTGGAGGTGCTCGCGCATGCTCGACCCACCTGCCACATTTCTACATCAAAAATATAATGTGAGTAGCCCCTGGAAGAAGCAGCCACCCAATTCAAGAGACACCATACTGTTGGACCGGCCCTCGCAGGTCACATTCCAAGTGGCAACTCCAGGCGCTGATCAGGTGCGGAAATGTTCTTGCGTTTGCTAATCTCTGGAAGAATCAATCGATTAACATATTTGATGGGGCCAAGGCGAAAGCAGGGGTCAAAAATATTCCTTGGCAGCCTCAGGTTTGGATCGATACATTGTCTGGGGGCAGCCCCATGGATTTTGCCAGCGTACAATGTACCATGGCTGTCGACGGAGGAGTGCAAGACATTCCTTCATAAGGGGTATGGCGCTGGTAGTCGGACTGTTTCTTGCACGCCTTCTGGAATCGCAGGAGCAGATGCAGGTACTTCCCCCGAGTGTGGACCTGAGACGACTACCATCAGGGTGGAAGGACGTGAATGTTGATGTCACCATTAGAACATGGCTGTGAAAGTGTGCCAACAAGAGGAACAGCTGTGAAACATCAATCCTGTGGAGGCGCCGATGGAGTCATTTTAGCTGCGTGTGTTATCATATTAAAAACACGTATATATGCATCTATGTATGTATGTATGAATGTAGGTGTATAGAATCATACACTCCATACAAAATACATGCATATAGATAGAAGTCTATGTCTCTCTCTATATATATAACAAATATATATATATATATAAGTTTTTGAACCCCAGTGACTTTGTGAGTTAGTTGTAGTCTTCTGGAGTCCTCGCCTGACCTAGTCGAGTGCGAGTGCCAATCAATATATATATATATATGTACGTCTCTCTGTCTATATATATATATATATGTATGTTTGCAAACTGGTTCGTGTGTGTGTATGATATATGTAATATGTGTGTACACATGCATGTATGTATGCAGGTAAGTAAGTATGTATGTATGCATGTACGTATGTACGTTTGTACGTGCGTCGAGAGAGGCTTGCATGCGCATTCACTTTCCGAGGCTGTTTGGCCAGATTTCTTGTTTCCCTGGAGGGTACTTGGACTCAGTGCGGGGTAGTTGCTTCCCGACAGCAGTGCAGGCATGACTCCTGCTTTTGTTCTTCATGTCTCGCATCCAAGTGCATCGAAGCATCAACTGATCGGAATTTGCTCGGCCTCGCTAACCGGCAACGTCAGAGAGCATTCTTGTTTGAGCTCACCTGGAGTGTGAGCGCCCGCTGGACCGTTTCTGCCAGGCAGATCGAAACTGAGATAAGTGACAACCGTGTCACCCAGCAGGCTCCCAAGATCTCCCAAGCGAGTGTTCAGGGCAGTAGCGTCTCGCAAGTGACAGAGGCGTGACAGATTTTGCTTTGGATCATGGGTTGATCGGAGTGGATGTGTTCGCCCCCAGGCAAGCCCAGCTCCGTGCAGAATTCGTGTCTACCTTCCTGCCGGATCAGCGCTACACACTGAAGCTGGAACTCGCTCCTCAGCTGATCCCGGCGCACGCCCAGTCTAAGCACGCCAAAGATCACCAAAGTGTATGTCATTATGTACAGTAGTCAAGCGTGGCTAGCAGTTGTGCAAGCATGCGGCAGTCTTGACATGGACGTGCTAATTAGAGCCCAACAATCCATACATATATTTACATAAGATATCAGATTCAGTATAGATGTATATGCATGTTATGTGTATATAAAATATGCATTATATATATATATATATATATGTTTTATTTGTTTGTTTCTTTATTTATGTATACAAATGTGTATATATCCACATATATTTGCACGTTATGTGTTTGTTCTTCAGAGGCTCGGCCTGTATGTGCGCAGAACCGCAACGTCTCATATCATGCCTGTCCAGAGGTAGCGTTTTTCTATAGAGGCTCTGTACAGACACACATGAACAACATTGAAGCACGCCAGAACCTTGTCGTGTTCATTGTTCAGCTCACAAAACCTTACACAGCGATTCAGACTGCTGTTTCTCGTGTGAATCTTGTCTCAGTCTCTTCATGTCAATTTGCTTTGAGGTGCGCATGGGTTTCCTGGCTGGCCCGGTGGTCGCGGCCGTGCTTTTCTCAGACATTGCGGGTTCAGGGTTTAGGGTTATCTCTGCCCATGTCTCCACGTCATCTCGCGATGTACCGCAAGTACGGAAGAAGCTCCGATCGTAGGTGGCCACCAGCACTGCCAGCAGCAGTGCGGATGCATCGGACTTCTCGCAGGCACCTTGCATGTGGAAGCAACATTGGGTCTATTTTGAAGTCTTTTTTGAAGTTTTGTCTTAATCTGTCCTCGACCGATTGATTGAGTCGCATGCCCAAGGCCGTTGCACTCTTCATTCTTTTTTGTGCTGAAGCTCTTCCTCTCTGTGTCGCCAGTCAGAATCATCCTCGAACTGGCTCGTTCTCGATCTCTCCCTTTGTGCTACTTTCTTACATTGTCTTGCACACACACACAGACAGACGCACGACAGGCCTTCTTGTTGGACCGAAGCTCGCTGGAGGACCAAGGACTCGACGCGTGTGCATGTGCATGGCGCTATGCAGCATGCGTCTTCTTTACAAGCATCAACTCAACTCTCGTGGATTTGAGCGCATGGGGCGGCAGATGTGTCATGCTGCGCTCATTGTCCCATGTATGATTTGCCTTTGCATTGGCCCAGTGCTTTGGGTTTCTTCAGGAGACGAGCAGCTTTACTTGGCCGGACAATTGGTTCTCCAAGCGCCTGGCTCCGGGTCTTTCGTGTCCCTGCCGGGGTCGCAGACACCAGCTGAACCCGGTAGAGCATAGCAGAGGGAACCCTTCGTGTCAGAAGGTAGATGCAGCATCTAGCTTGTGGACAGTTCCGGCGCAGAAATGGCTTTTCAGATCCGCCAGGGAGCTGCATCTGAACGGTCAGAATCTGCTCTGACTCTTGCTTCCGACATGCAGAAAGGATCAGAAAGAGGCTTTCCTGTGCGTCGTGTTGGGCCTTAAATTTACCTCCGTTCCCGGAGGTCAGCGACTGCAGAGTTTGGGACCAGCTTGTTCTTGGCCGCTCCTTGGCCATGAACAGGCGGTCAGCATGTGTGAGAATGAGGTAGCTGGAGTCCTGGAGCTTGAAGCTGAACTAACTTTGGCAACTCAGCTGCCTGAGCAGATGCTGCCGCCACCCGGGCTCTCAGGCAGACAGGGTCCACTACCTGACGCTAGGCTTTGCCTTGCAGGCCAACTCGCAGCAGCTTTCGGTGAGCATGCAGGTGTTTGGCTGAAGACGCCATGTAGAGTTCATTCAATCTCGTGGAACCTGTTCTTGGGGGGTGGGGATTGCATTGCCAGGCTGCCCTGCCGAAGGGTGGCCGGCTTGTGTTATACCCGGCTGCTGGTCTTGGCGTGGCAGCCGACGTGGCCTCACACCCAGTTAAACGTTCCGGCGCGAAGGACTGTTTCCCTTAATTTGCGGCACGCTCTGCTGATGGGGATTGGCGGCATCGATTCTCGGGTTGGTGCGTTCGATGTTCGATGGGGCATCCTGGGAGGTACTCGGATTGGCGGCGACAAATGTTCGGCGCTTAGAACGCACCCGACAAACGACGGGCTCAGCTGTAAGTTGACTCTGGCATCCGTCTCCTTGCCAGATGTATGGCGATTTCGGACGCCCAGGTGCGAATGTCTACTGCATTGAAGGATATCGGAGGTGAGCCGCCTCTTCAGCAGATCTGAATAGGTTGATACCGGTGCCCGTCTTCGCATTTTCTCCTTGTACACCTTATTCTTATTCATTATTCTCCATGAGGGTTTAAAGGGATTTGGTTGCTCTTCTCGCGAGATGCGTCGGAATCACGTTCGCTCCGTAGTCGGGCGACTCGGGCCCCGTTCCGCCAGGGAACCCGAACGGGTAAAATCCATTAAAATCCAATACTTCGGCGTTGTCCATCTCGATGAATCTCGCCATGCAGCGTGGACATTTTGGGGTGTGTTGTGGCCCTGTTGGAGTGGAAATCATGCTGTTGGCATTCCTTTTAAATTATGATTTAGCCTTCAAATCGCTCAACTCACTAAGTACGGCCCTGTAGCATGCCCACACCAGCGCCTCCTTGTGTGGTCTCGAAATCCCACCACATGTTGCGGGGTGGCTGTTGGGTATGCGGTGCTTGGACGGTTTGATGTTCTTCTGTTGGGTGGTTGTTTTCTTGGCATGGCTGCTGCAAGCAAAGCGGCTGTGCACCGGGCAAATCCATGAAGTCACGAAGCAAAAAACTGGGGTCCAAAGCTGCACAATGGTGATTTGGACACGGCAGGTGCGGATGATGTCTTTCAGAACAGCCAGAGGTTGGATCCAATGCCTCTTCGAGTGCACACCCTGCGTAGCTCAAGTGTTTTGAAGACTGCTGTTAGCTGCTGCGGTCAGAATCCAACTACACAAGAGAAGCGTATCGGTTTGTTCTCGGCCAGTCTCATGTGTCGGCCCGTTTTTCCACTGCAGACCGTGTGGACTCTTACCATAGTCGGCAGGCTTAGCCTGCCATCTCCCAGCTACACAGCACGCCTGGACGTGTTGTTCCAGGCAGGCTGCTGGCCGTCAAAGATTGGACTTGGACTGCAGCTCCTGCATGCTTCAATGTGGTGATGTGGGATTGTTCCTTGCGAGGCATCCGGAGAAGTGAACGAGCGTGGACCCTACCGTGCGATCACTAGTCCTGCCTCTTAGGACTCGCCATGTCTCGCCATGGTCAGTTATGCTTGTGAGCTTCAGAGGAGTAATTTGAGTATTGTGGAATGCGGCTTGTCCTTATGAGCCGTAGCGATGCGAGAATGCCGAGGTCGTTGATCGCGTTGCCAGCGGAGCAGCCTTTATCGCAACTTGTCTACATTTTCTCACCGCAAGCGCTGGCGACCAAATGAGACTCAGGATTCAGCTCAGAGTGCAGACCCGGTCAACTCCTTAGCTTACCCTGCAAGCAAGGCTTCCTTCCCGACATTCGCTGCAGCAGGGATTGCTCCTGAAGCGGGCATGCGCACGCGAGTTCTGACGGCCCAAAAGGACTGCTGGATTTAACCAAGGTTTGTTGCTGCGGGCAGCGGATGGCTGTTGCTGACCACCCTACGAGAGGTGCCTCAAAGAGACACAGTGCCTTGTGCAAGATGTAGGTATAACTGCACCAGAGGGTACGAGCAGTGAGCTTGTTCTTGCGAATATTTGCCTCGAGCGCATTGGGGCTTGGAAGACAGTACAGTAGCCAGGACTGGTCGGTGGACAGGCAAAGCGTCACCAACACCAACCTTGAGGAGTGTCCGATCATGCAGAGCGCCTGCATCATCCAAGCTAGCGGTATTGAATTGGTGGGTCCGCTAAGCTTTGTGGTTTTCCACCGTCTCCATTCCACGAGACTATAGTGCCCACTTTCCAGCAAGTCTTCTTTTGCAGCGACAGGCCACTGCAGACATTGAGAAGCAACACCCTACTGCCACTACCGATGTCCTACAACGTCCCAGCACGAACAGTACAAGCAGCAACATGAGCGAAATTGGGGATCGGCCTGTCAACGACACAAAGCCCATGATCGATACTCTCCAAGTGCCAAGGTTTTGGGGCACAACACCTGCATACCACCAGCTGGATTATCTCAAGCGTCCAAATAGGAGAGTTGCAGTCAGGATGCAGTGTGGCTCAACAAGTACAGAATGAAGATGCAGGAAGAAGAGCTAGAATAGCAGACCACGGTCGCGTCTTGAGTCCTAAGTCCTGCGGCCCGATGCATGCCTTCGGTGATGCTTGGAGGGTAGAGGTCCCCATCATTACTACTTACATACTATCACCAACAAGACAATTGCCCACTTGGCCTCGTTTTTCATAGTGGTAAGCTATCTTGGCGGCTATCAGAGTAAACTCCGCTAGGGACCCACACCATGCAGCTGACCAGTTCTGACGTGCAGATGTGACAGGCTGAGGCCGTGCATGCAAAAGGATCAAGTTGTGGTGGGGGCAGATAACATACTGAAGCATTTACTTGTGCACCAGATCATGAGCTGGCTATTTAAAGCGCTCAGGGCAGACTCAAAGACGGAGGCAAGCCACAAACCGATTTCACAGGAAGGCTGCAGCCGAGATCACTTCAACGGTATCAGAGCACATAGGTCCTGGAGCCACTGCCGCATGGTCAGCATGGGACCATGAGAGCAATCGCGCTGATTGTTCTTTGGCATACCTCTCGGATTCTGAGCTCAGCATGGCTCACCGACGTCTCTCGCTGATGATAAAGAAGTTACTGCGGCGTGCCTTTGGAAGGGAGTCTACTTTACAGGCGTTCTCTCTCACACAGTGGTTTAAGGAGAACTGGCAGGAAGAGACTGCCGGGAAGGTTTTGCTGGCCAGATTTGGGCACTTTGGCCAGATCGCGCGGATGGAGCAAACAGCATCCGAGAATTTTCTTGTATGTAGTCGGAACCACTAGTTGTGGCTGCTTGTGCTTCGAAGCAAGGCATGTTATGTTTGGCTCAGGTCTGCTTGTCATTGCACCGACGACGCCCCTGTGGACTGGACAGCCCTGATCCTGCAGTATTCAGGCTGCTGCCGGAAGCTTCTCATTATGCCAACAAGCTGTCCTGTGATTGAGACACTGTCGCGGTGTATCATGACGTTTGAGAAGCGCGAGTGCTATGAGGGTCTGCGCATGTTCATGCTAATGGAAGGCCACTCGCGATTGCTCGTCACGGACGTGAACTGTCGGCTTGCTCGCGACATCTGCGGCCTGCTGAATGTAACTAGCTTCCCAGCGATCATGTGACATAGCTTGCATTTGGAGTCTGCCTAGCTGAGCCCATGTCCATGCATACTGTAGCATCTTGAGCTTGTCAGAACAAAAGTCCCTTAGCTGAAGGTATGGCAGCGCCTACGGTTTGCGGCAGTATGATGGCTCAGTCTCTGAGCTCGCCGACTTTGCCCAGGCCAGGTTACTGTTCTGAATGGCCTTAAGACTCAAAAACTTAAGGCCATTCGCAGCTTCGATCTTGAGACTCTAACATCAGCCGAAGCCGCCCAAGCTTCCAAGATCTACCACTCAGGTCTTGAGTGCCACTTGCTCTCCTGAGCGACCCGACCTTTGTCCCACAGAGCTGCAGAGACGGTTGCACGAGCTGGCGGGATCGTGCTTAGAGGCGCCGCAATTTGCGTTTTTTGTTGCTCAAACCGGGGCTCGAACTTGCTTTTCGGAACCTTCGATGGGCTGCAAGCTTTTGCAAAGGGTGCTTTGATAGGCTGCTAGGGCCCTCCCGAAGCTGCTTCACCCATTTCAGTTCAGCGTCGGAGCTGTCCTTGAGCCAATAGCCTGGCATTGGGTTTTTTTTTCTCAAAGCGACGTCATTTTGATTTGCTGCACTTGCTACCGAATCCTAGACTGCAAACTGCTGGTATTGACGTCTTATGCTCTTGGAACCAGAAGCCCATCCTCCAACAGAAAGTGCTCGCGCCGGATTGGGAATTCTTTCTTAAGGGGAGGGTGTTGCGGCGGGCGAGTTTCAGGGTATCAGACAAGTTAGTCTAGGCACCAAAATCATAAAATCAGATGCCCCTGTCTAACCCAAAGCGAACAGTATTCTTGCTGCTTGTGTCCAAGTGTCGAGTTGTATTTGTGTTGCTGCTTGTGGCATTATGGCAAGTGGCCCTCCCGAGCTTCTTTCTTTGTCCAGCATTTTCTCAAGCAGTGCTGCTGCTGCTGCGTTCTGTTGCAGCCAGGATTTGGATTCACAGCTCAAAGACAACAAAGACAAGCAGGATGTCGTCACCAACGAAACTCGTTACAAATCATCGGCTAAACACCTTGATGCCATTATGTTGCCTCCTTTCGATTCGATGCGGGCCGCGGGCATTTCTGCACCGTTCCAGATGATAGAAAGACAGTGGCTGCTGGCAAGCTCAGGATCTGCGGTCCGCTATGGCGAAGCTTCAGGACCTGGGACAATATGTCGCCATCAAAAGCTGCGTGCAAAACGCTTGCATGCGAGCCCTTGGCAGTATAATTTCAGAGGCTTGAGCGCGCAGGCCGATTTCGAGTCTGCACACGCGCATCTGTCTCCGACGGAGCTGCCGCCTCTGATACTTGGACGGGAATGCTAGACTATTGTTTGGGGCTCATGGATACAGCAGTGCATGTATTGCATTCTTCAGCTCAGAAAGCGCCCGCCCGCCCAGCCCCCACACAGACTTGGGTTGCGGCAAGTCCGCCACAACACTTTGCCCACGAGGACAGGTTAGGAGCTGGTGTATTGACTGTGCTCGTGCATTGAAAACTGGTGGCAGATGGCAGTCGTTTGCACTCCTCTTCTGCCAATGCATACGATGTACGAAGGTTGGAAAAGCTGCGAAGCCAGTACGATGCACTTGAGGTATCGGCAGGGTTTCATGAGCACAAATCGCTCAGCCCTCGATCTGCGGTGAGTATCACAGTCTTTGTCAGGCAGAGTGGGCCTCCAAGCGTGACGCCGCTGCAGAGGAAAGGCTGATGATGCAAAAGGCCGCTCGGACAGAACAGGAGAGCATCACTTTCCTCAAGCATGATATTCTTCGCGCCTTGGAATAATAACAATGGTCACAGACCACGGGCTTCCGTACCAGAACTGGTGGTTGTTGACGGGGGGGGGCCCACTCTGCGATGGAATGTCGGGGATCCGGTGGTGCCCGTCACCGTGCCTGCTCTTCGGTGATTTGGGACAGGTTTGGCCTTGATGCGAGGTTGGAGGAGGATGTGCCTTTGCTGTGCGGATGTGCCTGGCCCGGGGTTGTGCGTTCGTGTGCAACTCGGTTCCAGCCGCGAGGGCTAGCAGCTAGGAGCCGCATCTGCTGTCAGGGGAATCATGAGCTGTAAGTTCACATCTATAAGGTCCATAATCGTAACGGTTCTGGCGCGAGTATGTTTGGATTGCTCTTTTTTCCGTTTTTCGCATGCATTCCATGGGTGAGGTTCGCCACATGCGACGACCGGGAGTGACGCCCGTGCCAAGACAAGAGCTATGACGAGCGAAAGAAGCAGGGCGCATCCCTTCACGTCCCACACCTCGCAGTCACAGCAGGCAAAATAAGTCTCAATTTAATCTGCTGCTGCGCAGCTGCCCCTGCGGTGCTTGCAGGAATGGCCTGGCGGTCCACTGCCCGTGGTGCCATCTTTCGATCCTCGCAGTACTCTCGCACGGGCACCTGGCATGACCAAAAGATCAAGGTACAACTTCACTTGCGGCTCGCACACGAAGCAGGCCACAAACATACCCTGTAGACGGAGCTTCTGGTGCAGTGCAGTTAGCCAAAAATGTCCGCAGTATGTTGCGGACAGCATGTGCCAGTCAACACTTTCACAAGACTCGACCCTGCATGAGGTTTCAGCATCCAGCACCAGGCGTTCTGCGGAGCTCTTAACATCTTTCTGCGAGCGGGGCCACAGGAAACTGCCGGGAGGACAACACTGGAGGTGATTTTGGATGATTTTGGCACAATGCACACATACATGCTTTCCAGCGTCGTTTATACGGAGTTGGAGAGGAGGGACACGCATTCCTGCCAAGGCTCTGATCCAGGCTACTTTCCGAGTCACGCCAGTCCTCGATATTCCTGCTGGCAGTCACTAGTAAGCAAGTTGGCAGCTTGTGAAGTCCGAGCTGTCTAGTCTCCGCTGTTCTCCTGTGACCTCAAAGGCTTCCTGCGTGTACGAGCTCCCAGTGGATTTGTTTGGGCCGCGGACTGTGTCGAGGGCTCTGGCCCGGGAGGTCTCGTCGAGCCAGGTGGGGTTAAAGGGAAGCCTTGTCACTTGTGCCGTGCTTCAAGCAAGGGCTTTCGCTCCTTCCGATACACTACTCATTCCTTTGCGCTAGCCTTCTGTGTCTAGTCGGTGTGACAGCACGCAAACGCCTTTCCGCCTTTCCGGATCGCCTCAGAACCCGTGTGGCGCAGTGCTGTACCGACAGGACAGTGCTGGCGCGACTCATCGGAGCCCTCAGTCACTCTCCTGGAGTTGCATAGTGCGCCAGCCCGAGTTTCATGCCATACATCGAAGGATGTCGAGGGGAAGGGGGACCATGCACATGCAAATGCCCATGCATATAACTCCAGAACATGCTTGGAGAGAAATTGCTTGCAGTTCGTAAGGATGCAGAATAGATAGGAATCGTACATGCCGACTGCCGTCTTATTGGTGCCGCTGTGTCAGTTTCACCGCCAGCTGCAGGCCATGCAGGCAAAAGCTTCGTACGAGATTCTTATGCCAGGGCCCCACGACAAAATGACCTTCACAGGGATTCGAACATAGGCTGACTGGAAGACTTGTGCTTGATGGCAGATGCAAGTGCTACGCCAGCTGCACCCAGGCAGGTGCTCACACCAGCAATGCTGCAGCCGCCCAACCGCTGGGAACTGGCAGCGCTGTCTCTCATCACACCAGGAACGGGCACAGACCATTGAGCATTGGACTGTCCACTGTGCAGTGTAGTTGAGGGTGAGTCTCAGTCTTAGTGGAATCCTGTTTTTATTGCAGCCAGGGCCAGCAGCAATCACCACCACATCCACTGTACCTCCTGGCTTAGTCCGGATCTCGTTCGGTCAGCCGGGGTGAGCTGACAGAAGGGGGACACGCGTACTCAGGTTGGAAGCCCGTCGGCTCTTAACCTCAGCGCCGAAGTCGCAAGTCCGGCAAGAAGTTGTCACAGGACTGCGAAATCCAGCAAGCCCCACATCAAAGGAAATGAGAGGAACTCTTCGGTAAGATACCCAACAGAAGTGGAGCAAATCGGGCACCGAGAGACTGGAAGTGCAGGTCAGGGACTTTGGCACAGGCTGGGTAGAGGTGCGTAAGAGCATATACTGTAGCAGATTCAAGAGAGGAAGGGTGTCGGCTCTTCCCCCCCCTTGGCGCGTGTTTTGCTCCTTGTCAGCAGCTTTGGCCAGGTTCATGACCCTCGTGAGCGGCATGCTGACGTGGTGCCCCAGCAGGCCGAAACTCAGCTTGCACAGACCAACCTGCTCACGTCTTCAAAATATCTGTTGTTGTCTTGTGAGTTTATAAATATAATGTCGAAAGCGAGCACGTCCCCACTGTACCCTGCGCTTGCTCGTCGGAGCTAGGGGAGCTGTACCGGGAAGCAGCGGTGCCCGAAATTGGCAGGTTATCCGCTTGACAGGCTTCCAACTGTCAGGCCTCGAGGCCAGGGAGCTGTTTCTTCTGTGCGTTGCAGTAGCTGCAGTCTGCCGTGCGGGGAAAGGCGCGGTTGCAACCGCTGCGGCAGCCGGAAGCGAATGGCCAGCTGATGTTGGAGTCTGACGTTGCCACGTGTTGCCTGCTGTTGTGTTCTCTCCAAGCGATGTGTGCGACACTGCCCCAAGCGACCAAGGCTCCTCTCCTTTCGTTTGGCCCTCCTGCTCGACGAGCTTCGCCTGGCAACTCTCCCATTGCTCTCTGGCTGAAGCAGTGACGGCCCTGTTGGCTTCTGCTGAGGCGGTGGAGAGTCTCTAAGCTTGAAACTGAGAGTTTCGAGACTGGCAGCGTGCACTGAGGCCCCTCGTCCTCTCCGCACCCCAGGGCGTGACTGTCAGCTGCGCATTGAGCGAGCAGGGGCAAGGAGGCACCTCGATATCGAGTTTTGCACTGCTCGCCTGCCAGCTCAAGCGGGTATTAATTCGGTAGTGACCCGGTAGTGGTGCCGGATAGAGCCGGGCGCAGGCCCCTTCGTAATTAAGCCGATACTGCCCGCTTGCGACGACGTGTCCCATGCAACATGTAACCTTCGTGCTGGCTGGCATGAGACGAGGTGACCCGCTCAATTACGGAAGCATCTCGGTGTCTTGGAGGCTCTTGGCTACTCAGCAGAGGCCAGGTCATGAGAGCGAAGGAACCATGGGTGAGAATTTGTACGAGAGCAATCCACGAGTTGTAGCCAATAGTCGCTCTAAAATTCATGCTCCACAGACCGCCATACAGCAGCTCCACTGCACCAATGGAGTGTCTGTCACAGTTTTGCATAAGAATACAACGGCTGTGGCTCTCGTCCATGTCTGTGCTACTGTACAAACTCATCGACAAGGCTTCATGACATGTAGAACAGCTAGCAAGAGGAGACGTGTCGCAACTTCTCGTCCGGTGTCCGTAGGTCGGCGCTGCTCAGCCGCTGCAGCCCACAAGGCCGGCACTTGAGTGTATCGCATTGCAGGACAAAGCGGCGGAGCCGGGAACCAGGATTTGGGGGCTCCGCTTCCCTGTAGTGTAGAATGAATGTAGTAGTATATGGCAGCAGCAGAACCGGCGTGGCAACTAGAAATTCTGGCAGGAGCTCGGGCAACCAACAGCTAAGCTGACAAATGAGTCTAATTAGGAATGCAAAAACCCTGTGCCGTTCAGATGCCTCTGGCGATTCTTCCCTTCTCTTGGAGCTCCAAGCGCCGCCATCTTCAGGCAGCGAGGTGGGCAAATTGTGTGGAAGGCATGAGCCGCTGATTTGTCGCCCACGGTATCTTCTTACGCCTTAGTCTCCCTAGCCGTCCATGTCAAGTGTCGATTGCCGCAGAGATGTCTGCAAGGCTCCGGGCGAATGGTTGGTCTTGCCGATATATGTGTCGTCGGCGCAGGAGGTACTGGTGAAGAATTTGTGAAGTTCTGTATACACTAAGCGACTGAGCGTGTTCACCACGCTAAATTTACATTCGCCATAAGCTGTCAGGGAATGGTACTGTGCTGATTCCGAGTTTACTGTACCTACTGTAGGCATCCATGCAACTCTCTATGCAAGCACGTGACCCGGAAAGAAGGCTCCCACCCTTTGCCATCCTGGGTGGATCAAAGCCACAGCGCAAACAGGAGACCTTTGCTTCAGAGCAGACTTGGAGGCTACGTGTGGGCGATGGCCTCGCGGAGGCCGTGGAGAGTAGTAACAAGCAGGAGGAACCTTTCTGCTGCCTGCCTTTCTGTACAGGGAACACCTTTTGAAACAAGGACATGCAAAGTGAGCGCAAACCGCAAGCCACAGGTGCGAACATTGCACACATCACCGCGGAGGCCTACGGAAAGCCTCTGGAAATCTTCTGCTTCAGTCCACCAGCTTCTGGCTTTGGTGTCGCAGTCAGGCTCAAGACCCTGCCTGGGCAGGCTGTTGCTCAAGATAGAGCCATGAGTTTCACCACCATCGGAGCTATGGATGGCTTTCTGTCTACCACGTTCCTGTTCACCATATGGTTGCTTTATGTCGATAATACGATTCGGCTGGGCAGGCCTGACGTACGGAGAGCTTGGCAGTTTGCGACCCTACTGCATCAATTTAAGTAGTTCCCTGCTACATAAGTAGAGTAGCCGTAGGATCGTAGGCTCGTTGACTCGCTTCATGGAACATGCAGCCGGAGAGGTATGGAGTCCGATGGCTGATGCCAGCGAAACATTGCTTCTGATGCAAGACAAACCAGCCCATGAAAAGAAATGCAGCCAGATCAACGCAGAGTTGTTCGAGATGTGGACATCGTGGGCGACTGGGATGAACTAAAGTGATTATGTGAACTTTTGTCACAGTCTCTTTTCCAAGCTGCCTGGCTTGAGTTGGCCTTGTTCTGACACTCGAGGTCGGCATCTGAAGTGTATGCAGCATTCCACATAGTTCAGAACCGGACCAGCCGACCCCTTGGAGAGATTGCCAGCTTGCAACGTTGCTCTCCTATTTGTTCGTTCTCAGCTGGGCCTACAATCGAGAATATCGAGAGGTGCCGACAAGTCCACGGCAGTCCTGGTTCTGCTCACTGAGTTGCAGCGTGCTCCCGTTGCTGAGCAGAGTGGATTTGCCAAAGCAGCTGCTGCCGGCACAACAACTGGGAGCTTTGGCCACGGGCTTCTTTCTGTTCACAAGATCCCAAACTGTCCATAAGATTGCGGATGGCAGTGATACCTGTAAGCATCCTGATGGATTTCTTGTTGGAGAGGGGCGCGACGCCAATGGACTTGTCCTTCGCATTCATCAACGAAGTCTTTCCCAGCCTTTTCGCATGCTTCATGCTGCTGCAAGCTCATGCACTGCTGCGGAGAAGAGAGGCAGCGGCAACGGCTCTTGAGTCACTGATACAGCAGAGGCAGGCACATGTCCTGGAGACAGAGAAGGTCCTGCTGGCTGTGCGCAGGCTGAATGCAACTTGTGATTTCTGCGCAAGGCCGATTGGTACATTCACGAGATGTCACGACGGGCCAAGCAGCTTCTGCACTGTCCGATATAACTCAGAGAGTGCCTTTCCTTGACCTCGTCTCTCAGGGGGAGCTGAGCATGCTCGCTGTAACGAAAAGGAATAGGTGAAGCATGTTCACTACCTTTCCTGCAGGGCATCAGGCGTGTCGTCAGCTTGATAAAGGCAGCTGACGATTCGGAGGCAGTTGCAGTGCTCCACTTTCGCATGCAGACATTCAGTGGCACAGTTCCTTGGCTCGTTTGTGAGGTCTGTAGTGTTGCAAGCAGTTGCGGTTGCACTTTGGGCTTCGATGTTTCTTGATTTCCTGGTGCAGATGACTCGTTTGTTCACCCGACTTTGTGAGGCCTTCGATGCACAGCTGTTTCATGCCAGTGTTCCCAGCATCCTCTCCGAGCAGCCGGAGCACTTGATCGGGATTGTTGCAGCAGGCCTGCCTGACCTGACGGCCGATGTACTAAGCATTCCAGAGGATGGCATTCTAGACACCAGCCTTGACCTGCCTCATCTGGCCCGTCGGCGACGACGCGGGCGGAGCCGTCTGTCCAGGTCGTCGAAGACATCCAGCATTGATTCTGCTTCCACCTCGAGGGAGAAGTTTCTGGGTTGAAACGTTTTGCCGTTTGTCCGTGATGCCTTGCCAGATGTTGAACATGTAACGATTGGTGTAGATCTTCACACGGGCATGAATGGCTTCGTCGTTTGCTCCATGAAGCTCTGCTTTAAACCATCTTCGAGCAGTGGCATGCTCCCTAAGAAGGCCATAGAGCTGGGTGAAGCCTCGTGTCGAGGACTGGATTCAAGAGCACGTAAATTTATGATACTGGCAAGAGACCACAGATTATTCACTTCGATATCCCGTACTTGGGTGCCACGTTTGCCGTTGGAGTGATGTCTGCGGGGCAGATTTCTCACTCGATCCACTAGCGGAGATGGGTATACGAGCTCCACATGGAAATTGATTTGAAAAATCTCGTCCCGCGTTAAGGAAGCGCAGCAGTCCATGTGCATGGCATGTGCTTACGGCCATGCAGTGGAGTTTCGTCTTGACTCACCCTCTGACCATGGAGAAACGGAGGGCTTGGCATGCTCAGATATGCGCGCGTCTGACTGTCACATCACGCATGTTCTCGCAGTGCCACTGAGAGGGTTGTGTTTCAGCCAGGATCGTTCATCCTTCCTCACCACCTCGAGCGAGCTTGGCTGCTGCACTCGCATGCACGGCCTTCTGTGCCGCCGTGGCAGGAGAGCACCAGGACTTAGCGCTGCACAGCTGACATACGACATAGCTCCATGTTAAAACATGGAGTGGCCAGAGAGCGGACCATCTGGTGTCCAGGCACTGTTTTTGGCTCAAACGCTGAAGAGCCAACCCAGACTGTGTGGTGCCTCTTTCGTCTCGTCGCAACTCAGTTTGAACTGTTGGAGGGCTGGCAGTCAAGCGCCAAGGGTGGCGTAGACATGAGTTCACACACGCAGGCCTCTGGAAGTCTTGAAACATCAGGTAGCAACTTCCCGTGTCGAAACCTGATTGACTTCTTGGAACAGCAAGACAGCATACTTCAGCCACGACATCACTCAGCATATCGACGGGTTGTATGTGATCGCCCGAAAAATCAGACCCCTGCGTGCTCAGGTCTGCGAATGTTGAAGCTGTACTCCATGGTTCGATGTTTTCAGTTACCACTTCTTTGGAGCATGTGCTCAGCCTTGCGATCCATGGGCTTGGACGAGTCTCACGCACCCAGGATGCAGATTGTTGCAGGTGTGGCGCCCTGCCACAGAGAGAGCATTCGCGGCTTCATCGCGCAGAGTTGCTGCAGGTCGCTGCCATTCCCAAGCAGTATGTGGTCGACAGCATGATGGACGTCACAAGAATCTTCAGTGGTAAAACTCGTGTGTCTCTGCGAGGTGGCTCCATCTTCAAATGCTACTGGGCCTCTTTGGAAGTTGAGCCTATTTCAGGAGCAGTAGTCACATGGGCCTCTGGAGATCCCTTTCCGAAGCTTCATGGACTCCTGTTCCCACCACTGTCACCAAGAAGCTTCGCGGAATTCACACGTCACATGTTTCCGCCGCGGCGATGGCGACTGCATTCTGGCTCATCTTAGGCTGCAAGAGTCGAGCAAATGACCTGGGCCTGCTTGTGGACGAGGCGATTAGGGTGAAGATCTGTTTCGGCGGAAAGCTCTTTTAAATCGAGTCCGCCTATTCACTGCCATCTCGGTGCTTGCTAGGTGACCTGCAGCGGTTGCCATGTTGCCTAAGTAACGGCGGTTGGAAGTACTCTTGAACTTAACGTCAAGCTTCGGCACCTTTCTGCTAAACTGCAGCTGTGTACAGTTCACCTCTTAAGCTTCATGTATGAAGCTTGGTTCGGCATTTGTCGGTTGAACCGGTTGTGAGTCTGGTTGAGCTCTGTGCAAGGCAAGCGAAAAGACGCACGAGCTGTTGCAGGCCTGGGGCTTGATGCCACGCGTACTGCAGCAGCCAAGCAGGCAGAGCGAACAAGCAGCCTTAACACCACCAAACGAATCCAGAAGCCAAATTCAACGCAGAAAGAAACTATCACGAAATCAGACAGAAGGACATCGAGAGACACAGAGAAGACCCCAAAGAGTGGTATTTGTTCGATTGCTCTATCATGTCGACATTTTCTGTTGTCCGGACCTGATGGCAGAGACTCCGGCAGTCGATTGCTGCACAGATGCCCATCAGTCAAGAGAGCCGCAGGAGCGGGGAGGCGAGGAGAGTCGAGGGGTTCAATGTTGACAGGCGCTCACAGCTTCCCATCTGCACGGTTCAGGCAGATTCATGCGTACATACCGGTCTGCATGTGTGTTGGCGAGCATACGCATGTAAGTACGTGCTTGCACACAATATGTTGCCATAGCTACGCATATTCGTTCGGGTCATGCTGCATAGCACCACTTGAGTAGCGTAACTACTGAATGCTTTAGGGCAAAAGGCCACATACTGTAGTAAGCGGAGTTTTTGTACCAACTGCATAGAGAGATTGAGCAAGTAATCTCACCTAGAACGAGATGCGCAGCCGCACCCTGAATTTCTGGTGCTTTTGCAGCCGTAACAACCCTGGTAGTCTCAGGTCCTGTAACTGAAGTGTCTGCAAACTCCCTAACTGAGCACCTGAAAAGTCGGCTTGCTGGCATGGGAGCTAGGTGCTCAACGTAGTCGGACCTCTTTGCTTGAATCCGTGCCTGCCCAGCCAGGGTTGCCGGGGCTTGGTCGGCCTCCGCTTCAAATCCTTCACAAGATATGAAGAGCATCCCGAAGCTGGCTGCACTGGCTTAGGATTAGAGCTACTGTACTGTGCTTCCAAGTTTCGAAACTACCCGGGGGTCTGGGGCAGCCATGCAAGCTTGGAAAAGCAATTCCGGGTCGAGCCGGCAAGTTCCGGAACGTTGGTTTCATGGCTCCATTGAGTAGCGCTTTCACTTGATTTGTCTTGGGCCACGGCCAATGGAATTTTATGCTGATCCCATCAAAAGCGACACACAGACACAGAGATGCGCATGTACACGGGATCAAGACTGTTGCTTCTCTACCCAGCGTTTACTTCGTCTGTACGCCACATACAAATGAGGAGAATGCCCGATGCGTGGTGGCCAAGAGTGGCATGCCCGACGCGTTCTTACAGTACCATTTTCCTGCGGAAGTCGTCCCGGTCGTGGGTGAGTTGGTGGACGTGTCCGATGACTCCTGGCTCGAAGTAACATGAAATGGGCTGACACGTCTGGCATGTGATCTAGCTAGCTAGAGCTTTTCCACGGCCACAGACTGTTATTTGATCGTTCCTTGATCGTTTGGGTAGCAAGTCCGTAGTTCAAGCGTTCGGCTGTAGGAGGGGAAACGGCGCTCTAGAGTGCCAGCGTTTGCGACTACAGTGGCGGTGAATTTTCCGGGAGCCGAGTGAAAGTAAGTTACAAAGAGCCTTAGGCCTGAAGTGATTGGGAGATCGGAGGGATGCTTTGGTCTCATCAGTCTAATCACGTGGTCAGGTCTTGATGAAGCAGGAGAAGTCTGTCACCTTGCCTAGCGGCAGGACATATCGATGTTGCATGAAGGAGCACTCGTCCTGGGTCGTACAGCTCGGATGTCGTGCGGATTTTGCCTGACGTCACGGTCAAGATTTCCTTCGCAAGGTTACGTCGATTTGTTGAGAAACTTTCTGCCGAAGACACTTCCTGATGAGACGATTGTTAATCTCAGAATCTCTCACGGACCTGGAGGAGGGTGACCGGCATGCTTTCCTGGTAGAACAGCGGCAACTTGCCTTGCAGAGCAGCACGGTCAGTGAGTGTCGCAACTGTTTGCTTGATGCCAGATCTGCATCACTGCTACGACGAAGTTGGCATAGGACCGGTAAGTCTGAGTACCCCTCAGCAATGTGCAAAGCGAGTATTGTGCATGAGCCAATCTTCTCCCCGCCTTTCTACACCTGTCTCTGTCTGTGTAGAATTGGAAACAGTGCTGGACGAATCTCGCGCTGCCTGTTACAAGCTCTTTTCCATAGCTGCTTCACTTCTGGCCTCTCAGACGTCGGTTATGTCAGCTTGATTATGGCATTAAACCAGGTGGTGAGCTGTGTGGCACTAGTTGCTTGAATTTTGGAGCTACGAACAAACAAAGTTCGACATGGTTGGAAATCCGAAACCAACTGCCTGTGGGCAGCCGTTCTGCCCGAGATAGTGGAACTAAAGACGACTTGAATCGGCATTTTGCTGTCGTAGTCTGTGAACTTCGTGCGCGACTTCAGTGAAGTGATTGACACTGTCGTTTGCTTTGTCAGACGATCCTTTGAAGCTTTTGAGTTATGGGACAGAGAACCTGTGACACTTAATTGGCTGCAGAATGCATTTGATGAACAGGGATGCATGAAGGCATCCATCCTGTGCTGTAGGTCATGCCAGTCTACTGATGGCTTGAATTTGTTCTTCTTGATAAGTTCCAAAGCAGACCTCGCTGTGAGCATCGCTCTCTGCAGTGCGAGAAGGAAAAACATATCAGGTGTAATGACGTAATTTCGTGTTGTACATGTACTTATGAAACGGACGGTTTAAAGACACACGTGTGCATACGGACCTGCAGCAAGAAGGCGAACAACATTCAAAGAAATAAACACACCGGTGACAGAGAGAGCGGTTGTGCTTCAGGTGGTGTGCAGTGCGAGGTGCATTGTGTTACTCCCAATGCCACCCTGAAGGCACAACAAGCTGGATGGCACTGTCCTTCAAAGACTCCAGGACCCAGCTCAGAAAGCCAGTCGAACAGTGACAGTACTAGAACAGTAGTATGTCCTGTGTGCAATCTGGCTGTTGACCTCCGGCTGTTGACAACACAGCATAATGCGTCTGTCACTGGCAGCTGGGGAAATCTGGGACGGCTTGATTACTTTCTTGTCATTGTAGTGAGCCAGGAAAAATTCACCCCCTTGTCGAACAAGAAGTGCAGCGGCCTGGTGGCGGTGGGGTACAGCTCGTGGAAGAAGTGGGCTGGCAACCGATGCATTGTGCAGTCCTCCCACATTCCGAAGGATCGAAGCTTGAGCCGTGGACTTGGAGCCAGTGCTCTAGAGGGCCTTTCGCAAGCATCCGCTGCGAAAGACACACTTTTCAGCTGACGCTATCCGCTTGGCAGGAGGCCATGAAACTTTTGGGTTGGACGCTGCAGGCTACGATTTCCAAAGGAAGCATCGCTGATGCAAGAGTGTTGGCTTGTGGTCTCGCATGCCTGCTAGAGATTCTCAATGCATGTCCACATGCGAGTAGTGCCACACTGCGGAATCGTTTGGCTCAGTTTGCTCGGGCAAAGGCACAGTTCCTGAAGCTGATGCGCCGGTGAACTCCGAGGAAACAGTCCAGTCCGTGACAAGTGGGTGACAAAAAGCAGCAACAACAACAACAAC